AAACCAACATATCCATCCTTTGTCATCCAGCATTTTCACTTTTAGATATATACCAAACACTTATATATACATGAGCTCATCAAAAGGCAGGTAGAAAAAATATTCATGAAAATAGTCCTAAAACAGAAACAATCCAAATGCTGATTATCAGGAGTATTAATCAACAAATTGTGGTATATGCACATAATGGAATTTTATTCAGCAAGAGAATAAATAATGTACTAAATATGCAAACAACAGTGAAGAATCTTACAAATATAATGTAGAGTGAATAATGCTACACACTAAAAAGTATATATATGTGTGTGTGTGTGTGTGTGTGTGTGTGTGTGTGTGTGTATCTCCACTTATATAAAGTTAAAAAGCAGGAAAATCTAACTGATGGCAGTAGAAGTCAGAAAAGTAGATACCTTTGGGGACTGGCAATAGTGAGTAATATGGGGCTTGAGAGGAAAGTGTTTCAGGCAGAGTAATGTTTTATTTCTTGACCTGGGTGGTGTTTTCATGAGTTATTTGCTTTGTGAAAACCAATCAAGCTGAACACTTACAATATGTGTGATTTTCCATACAAATGTTATACACACACACACACACACACACACACAGATATAAAATTCGTTTTTAAAATTCAGTAACCAAATATAATCAACAGCAATATAATCAAAAGCTAAAAACATTAAAATGTCTGAGGATAGTATTTTAGCTTGACATTGAAGCCCATGAAGTAATTTCAAAGTGTCAAGTATTAGTGACTGAAAAGCTGGACTCACTTCAAGTTCATTACCATAAATCTTAGAAGGCTCTCAACACAACCAGATAATCCCACTGCACTTCCTTACTGCATCCATGTTCCCCCCAAGACAACTTATTAACACCTTCCCTTCTCTCCTCACATTGTCACACCCTCTCAGTTGATGACCGCATCACATAATTCTCAGAGAAAATAGATGTAATAGTAGAACACCCCATTCCATCTCTGTCAGTCTACCACCTGCCTCTCTGTCTCTATGCTCCATTTTCTCTCCAGGTCCCATGAGTGAAATGGTGCTCTCATCTCACCCCATCTCAGTTTCTCAAGGACTTCCATAATGGCCCAGTTCCTTTCTCCAGCATTTTCAATTTCCTCTTCTCCATGGAATGTAAACATGCCTAAAATATCAAGACCTTTTAAGAAAATCTCCCTTGGTACTGTATTCCACTCCAGCCACTGCCCCATTTCTCTTCCAAGCAAAACTCCTTGTAAGAATTGTGTCATTGCTATTTCCTCTTTCACCCCTCCTGTTTTTTCTCCAGCTCCTCTTATTGGGCCTTAATCCCCACGCCTCTACTGGAATGCCACTTATCAAGGCTTCTAATTAATTACAGGCTACCAAACTCTGTGGTTTCTTCTGTTCTTGGTGCCCATCTTACTCTCACAAGCATTGAACCAAGATGGTATCCCCCGCATCCTTTTTTCCTTTCATTTTTTGGTGTGTGTGTGGTGTTGGGGATTGAACCAGGGCCTCACACATGCTAAACACATGCTGTACCACTGAACTACCCCCTAGCCCCCCCTCCATTTTTGAAGCACCTTCTCCTGGCTTCCATCATACCACACTCTCCTGATTTTTCTTCTAGATTTCTGGCTATTCTTCCTCAGCCTTTCCTATTAAACTTTCAAAGTTAGGCTCTTCTAGGCTAAATGGTAGCTCCCTTTCCTTTACTATCTACACTGTCCCTAGGTCAAAGCTTCACCATACCATCTCTACGTTTATGTCTCTAATTTGTTTCTTCATCCTGTCTCCTTATCCTGAGCTCTCAACTCACGTCTAATTGTGTGAGACACATCACACAGACTTAACATGGCTCAAATGGAAAAATATTGATTCTATTCCCCCCATAATAAAATATCCACTCTCCCACTACCCTTCCCCAGTTTTGTAAATGGCACCAACTTCTATAAGTTTTTTCAGTCAAAGAAACTGAATCATCCTTAATTATTTTTTTCTGGTACCCTTTACCCAATCCTATCAGTAAGTCCTATCAATTCCATTTCCAAACTGAATTCAGAATCCAACCACTTTTTACTTTCTCCACAGCTACTTCCCTAGTTCTACACACCAACACTAGCTTCACTATCTAACTGGTCTACCAGCCTCCAGGCCTGCCTCAGGGGTGACTTTGCTAAAGTGTACTTCAGATCAAGTCATCCCTGCCCAAAGCCTCCCAGTGTGTCTGAGGGCAACAGAAAGCAGCTGAGGGTGGGCATGATAATCTAGGGAGGGGAGGCTATACAGGGAGTGTAGAGGCACTTGGGCAACCTCAAAGTGGGAGCAAAGGAAACATGACTGACTTTCAGGCTTCTTCTCCCTTTTAAACTCTTACAGGCCTGAGCAGTAATGTAGCTGATACCACTGGTACCCCACTCAGAGCCCCTCTGCCCTCCCTGGAGGATCTCTGTACACATTCTTATGCATACCACAGGTTTTTGGTAGCTCTCCCTACTTGGCCCTAGGAGCATGCTGGGATCATACATGAGGCAAGCCTCAGAAGCCAGGATATTCACACTCCAGGCTCTACCTTCTATCTGCAAGTAGCAGAAGTTGTGCAGCAATATTCCAGCTTCCTCACCCCTCAGCAGAACACATCTGAGGTGTGTGCACCAAAGGGTCCTAAGCTGGATTCAACTGCAGTTGTCTGCAGTGGTAACCAGTTCACATCAAGCACTAGCTTTTCTCTCTTCCCTGTTTCACTTCCTCACTCCCTCTCTGGGATTCCTGGGATCTCCTCTCAAACTGCATGCATGAAAATCTTTGTCTCTGTCTCTGCATTCTGGGAAACCCAAACTAACACATGTTAATATTGTGCTTTTACTCCCAAAGGTAATGCCTTCTATGACATCAAATAAGAACAATGACATCTAAATTTAGATGAAGGAGAGGAGACAGAGATCTGAACACAAAGTGAAGAGACAGCGTTTTGGAAAAACAAAAAAGAATAGATTTTTAAGTCTTTCCCTGGGTATTATATTAGTCTCTTCTTTATTCACATATAAATATACATGAATAGAGTATATATTCACCACTGTATGCATATAGTAAAGGTCCTCCTCTTATTTCCATAACCATTAGTTGATACTCTAAACAGTTAAAAAGGACTTGAAAGGACTGTTAAAATCCAGATACAAAACTACTGCTGCCTCTAAAGAAAGGACAGAAAGGAGGACACATTCTCCACTGGCAGTGAGTTTCATTTGTGTGAAATCAAACTATTTAAGGAGAGGTGTGTCCTCCCCCGACTCCCGACGCCATAGCCATACACGCACACAGGGGAAATGTATGCACCACTCAACAGTCTGCAGAACTTCCCTCCAGTTCTTTTGAAGTGAAATCACCACTCCCCGCCACAACCACACTCCCCAGATATCAGTGCTGTTGAAAGTGAAGGGCTTGTCCCTGCTGTGTGGTTAGGGGTAAAAAAGGAGGCAGGATTAAAGCGCTCATTTCCAGTCCCAAAAGTAAAATACGACTTGGCCTAAGGCAGTCCTAATTCTTTCCAGAACTCATCCCCGGAATTGCCCTTTTAAACAACCAGTCATTAACCCAACTCCGGGTCTTTTATAGCTGCGAAAACCGATCCACACATCATTTATTCATTACGCTTATTATTATTGTTATTGCAGAAAAGCAGTGAATTCCCAGGGCGGGGTTCAAAGGGTTTTTTTGGAGGAGGAGAAAAAGAGGGGCAGGCGGCAGAGCAAGGAGGTTAGGCTGGGCTGCGCGACAGAGGTGCACGGAAATCCCAGGAAAGGTTGCCTCGACCGGGTGTGCTCCTAGGCCACCGGCGCACGGTGCAGCTGCTGCAGCAACAGAGGAAGCTTCTTATGTAAGTCAGAGTCGCTGACATCACCTTTGCTGCGAGCATTGCAGCGGGACTAGGCGCCAAAGGACCCGCGTACCAGACCAGCACTACTGTCTTTTGCCGGGGTCCTTCCTAAATGATTCCCCTGCTGCTAGATTTGGGCAACCATGTACCAGGGCACTGGCCTGCACGCCCCTTGGAGAGCAGATGACACAGAATGACTACTTATCAGGAGCTCTGTGATGTTGAAAGAGTGAAGTCAAAGCACAGTGAAGATGCCCAATGGTCTTCCAGACCTCCTTCCTGGCTCTCTCCTCCAAAACTGCCTGGCAGGACTCGTTCATATGTAAATCGACACACGCCAGTAGATTTGAGGGAAAATGCCCTGGGGCAAGGGTAGGGGAAGAACAGGTACAGAATCTTCCTAGGGCAGATGGCCTAACGAGCCATTTAGAAGGAATTCTAGGTTGTTCCGGGCAAAAAAGATGACCTGGGTCTCCTCCATCTCCCTAGGGACCAAGCAGTAGCGGCTCCCTTTCGTTCCTCCGGTCCCTCCAGACCCCAAAGGTTTTCAGTAGAGCACTTTGGAGTTCAAGCCAAGAAGAGAGGAGCATCGCACTACGTCGCACACCCATGAGAGGCATAAGTTCGGGGAATCCAGGCAGCCCGTAAGGTCATAGAAAGAGTGACAAAGCCACTGCAGGAGCTCTAAAAGGTTATCTACTACTCCTGGAGCCCCCAAGCATGGTTCTGGGCTGGGTTGCTGGAAGCCACAGGAGTTGCACCCTTCCCCCCTCCCAAGGACAAAAAAGGCGAGTCCAAGAGGTGAATGACAGACTCTCTCTGCCTGCTATACCCCCATATACGCTCCCTTTCTGAGCGTTTTCAGCCCACGGATGCTTGAGAGTTCAGAGGCTGCCCTTTAACTTTCTGCCCTCTGATGTCTGCATCCCTGCCTTCATGGGGGTTAGCCTGGCTTTACTAAGCCCCAGGAGGATTGGGGTGGATCTCAGGGCAAGGGAGGGGTGGGAAGGCAAGAGAGTAAGGTGCAAGTTGCAGCAGGCGCGGTGCCGCGGGGCTGGGATTGCGGTGACAGGGGAAGGCGCAAGGGTGCGGCGCAATAGCTGATCGCCCCACGGGCTGACGGCGCGAGTACTCACGCACTGCCTCCTGCTTGGGGTCCAGGGTGCCGAGGATGCGCTGCACGCCGCCGAGCTTGCCCTGCAGTGCCCAGACACGGCGGTGGGTAAGCTGGATGTCGCTCTCGAGCTCCTGGAAGAGGCTGCACGCGTGCCGGGCCACGTCCGAGAGCTGCCGGAGGACGCGGGCCAGCGCAGCGTTGCTGACTGCGCACAGGTCCAGCATGAGCAGCACAGCCGCCGCTGCCGCGGTGGAAGCCTCACCAGCTGTGGACGCCTCCTCCGGGACCCCCGCCGCGCTCTCCTCGCCGGCCGCAGGCGCTTCGCCCTGAGGCTGCTGAGCCTGGTCAGCCGGCACAAGTACCGGCGGCGGAGGTGGCGGCAGCCCGAGAGGCGCAGGCGGCGCTCGGGGAGGTTCCTTTGGCCCCGGCAGCTCGGCCTCCTCCCGCCGGCCAGGCGGCTGCAGGGGCGGCGGCGGCTCGGCGCTGCCTCCACTCTCATCCTCGTCTGGGCCGGGCGCCGGGCGCCGCTGCCGGCACAGCCACTGCGGCTCCACGATCCGCTTGGCGAAAGGCATCCCGCGCAGAGGAGCCGCGACTTTCTGTTCTCCTCTGAGCGCCTCTCGTGAGCTGGGGACCGGGCGCGCCCACCTGAGCAAGGAAACGGCAGGAGTCCAGCAAGGCGCGATCCAGGCAGTCCAGATACGCAGGGGGCTCCTCGGCTCACCTGGCCTCCCTTTCCCCGCCCTCTCCCTAGCAAATCAGTCCAACTGGTCCTCCTTCGGGTGCACAGTTCCCTCGGGAGGATGACAAGCGCCTGCACAGAAATCCAGGGGTGCGCCTGGGTTCCTCACTTGCTTCCAACAGGGGTCGGCTGGCTCAGCTCCATCGTTCCTGCGCTCGCCGCCGCCGCCCGGGCCACTGCCGCCGCCGCCTATATAAACGGGTGTGTGTGTGTGTGTGTGTGTGTGTGTGTGTGTGTGTGTGTGTGTATGGATGGGTGTGAGTGTGTGCGCGCGCCTCAGTTTGAAAGTACCCCGGCGCAGGCCTCTCCCCGCGCGCCCCTTGGCCGCTCCGGGGAGCGATTGCGCCCTGGATCTCTCCCCCTCTCTGGGCGGGGAGGAGGTTTCAGAGAGGCGCTCTGAAAACCCGGAGAGAGGAATCCGCCTCCAGCCGCGGCGCAGGAGGCGGCGTGGGGGCGGTAGGGCCGACGCAGGGCGGGGGAGGCCAGGGCGAGAGGGGCGCAGCGCCCTGTGCGGCCGCTGGGAGTCACTGGTGGCCTCGCAGCTGTGGGCGCCTTCTGGCTCAAAGACATTTCCTCACATCCAAGGGGTTAGCATTGAGACAGTCAGTGTGGTGGGGGTGGGGAGTTCTCAAGTTGGGAGTCGGGGTGCAGGTAGAGAACACAGAGGGAGGAAGGTGGGATATTGGGGATGCGGCAGATTTGGCATGTTGGAGCAAGTTCCTTCGTCGAATTCCAGCTTCCTTCAAGCCCTTTAGGTTCCTATAGGGAAAACTGGACTGCTCCTCTGAGTGCCCGGGGCTCTGTGAGAGCAGAGACAGCTGAGGAGGTAGGGCGCATCCCAGTGCGGCTGGAGTAGCCAGAGTGCTGTTTATACCGTTTCCCAGGCATGGTATGGCGGTCTGTGCTGGGCGCGGTCTCTGTAGAATATTATGAATGAGACCCAAACAACCAATGATCAAAACCCCTAGAAAAGTGCTTGCAAAATTCATTAGGTGAGATGAATCGGATTACCTCCTTGTCACCCTACTGTGATCATCATACACAGGATTTTTAAAGTTCTCCATTAGAGAGATGATTCACAGAAGAATGGAAAGTTTTTCCCTTTGGTTAACTGAAAGGTATAATTTCTTAAAAGACATACATTTTTGATTGCAGCATTTTGCAGGCTGGATGCTGTCAAGCTAAAACCTAAAGAGTTTGGGAAATGTTAATAAAATACATGCTTTCATCCCTCCAAAGCGAATACTGTTAAAATATATTTTTTTTTATTTTAAAGCCACAAGCCAGATCTTGGGAATGCAGCCTTCATTTCGTGCGTCTAAAGAGAACATGGAAAAAATATGTTTTATGGCAATAATAAAGTCCTCCAGACCTGTGGTGGTGTCTCTCCTGCTCTCCTTGCTTTTAGCAGGAGACCCTGTGCAGGGCCCAACAGTCAGCACCTTGGACTGGCCCACACTTTGGTTATAAAGGTTTCAACAGACCCTTGTCTTATTCTACTGAAAAAATAATATTTTTGGCAAAAGAATATCCTTGTTCATAAAAGATCCAAGCTGGGTATTTGGAGGTAAAGGGTCATGATGTCTGCAAGGTACATAAAAGTGATTCACCAACAAGAATGATGATGATAATAATAGCATGCATGTATAAAGAGAGAGAGAGGAGAGAGAAAAGAAAATATAGCAAAATCTCAAAAATAGTGATCTATGTAAAAGGCATATTGGGGCCCACTATGTATTTCTTGCAACTTTTGGTTTGGTTTGGTTTCCAAATAAAAAATAAAAGAATATTTTTGAACAGAGTCTTTTAGCATTTATTCGTTATCTCACAAATCTAAAAAGCTTAGAGCTGGCTGATTTAATTTAGCTTGACTTTTTAATATGTTCAAAATTTTGAACATGAGTTCTGCTAGGTAGGCAAGCCAGACACTCCTCCCTAAACACACTGTTGCATAAGGAACAATGGGGGAGTATGAGAGGCTTCAGTTAGCAAGCCTTGTGGCAACAGTCTGCCCTGCCTCCCAGTCCTCTGTACCCAGTATTATCCTATTAATAGCATTCATTGGAGTCAGTGGAGTGGCCAGTTGCACATTGACATGGGCAATGAGTTAGTGGTGTGTGGCTCTCACTCTTAAATGGAATTTGGGGTTATTGGTGAGTTCCTGCCAGAGCCCAAGAGAGATGATCTTAAAGGGAGGGCAAAGGCCCAGGAGAAGATTCCATGGGGTAATTAAGCTCAAGAACAGACTAGTTACCTGTTGTATGTCCCAAAGTAGCCACACAGACTCGATTCAAGACTCTGAAATGATTCAAAGCACTGTTCAACTACACAAAAAGGAGAACCCTCTGTTACCTCTTGGACTCCTACTCATGTGTTAATAATGCATACAGTTAAAAATTTTTAAAAAAGCTTTGATATTGTCTTTCAATCTCCTTGGTTCTCACTGTTCCCCAGGGACCTCTCAAGACAGCTTCCTCCAAAGCCACCAAAAAGAAAACTAATATGAATGATTGTATTCATCAAAAATATGGTTGATTTACTCTCATTCATTTGTAAGGTGTGAATAAAAGCATTTTTTTAGAAAAGTGTGTGATTGTTATACATTAGTAACACCCTCTAAATAACAACTGTTTGGTAGCTATGAGAGGCAGCCTCAAGACAGCCTCCTGACCCTATCTCAAGTCCCTCCCATGTGGTTCACTTCTCTCTTCCTGCACATTTTTGGGTGGGACTCCTGCTTTGTAGAATGAAAATATTGAAATAAGAAAAAGGTAGTATCCACATGTAATCCTGATGAAATATATGAATAGTCTTAATGCTGATGAGTTTTCAACGTACCCAAGCTCCTGAACTCTGTATCTTTCTTATTCAAATCCTGGCCTGTGCCATTTCACTCTTGAGTTTCCCACAAAAAGTTCTGATGAAGTCAAGTATGCTATCTTAAGCCTGATTATTATACCTCGTTATGTATGTATGCTGATCTGTCCTGATCTCTTTCCCTCTCTCTCCCCCTTCTCCCCATCCCCCCCTCTCTCCCCTATCCATGTACACGTATTTATTTTCCATGGCTTGTAGCCAAAATGGAAAGGAAAGACAGCATTTAAAAAATGACCTAATTGCCAGCAGTCATTCATACAATTCAAAGACCAACACAATTTCCCCATAAACTCAAATGTGCGGTCAGTATAAACCTTATGCCATTGTAAAACGAATGAAATATCCTGTCTGTGTCACCACACCCCATGGTTACACTCCTGCCTTCTCCAGCCCAGTAGGAAGTAGGGCTTTGCTAAATGATAGGTTTGACATTGTGAGAGCCATAAATCACTTCGGCTTGCAGTCTCACTATTCACATGCTTCCATAGAACTACATTCAAGTTTCCCCTAGAATTTCATGAGCAGGGAAGCAGAGATTCCTAAAAGACTCTTCACCTGGGCTGGGGTTGTGGCTCAGTGGTGGAGCACTTGCCTAACATGTGCAAGGCCCTGGGTTCAATCCTCAGCACCACATAAAAATAAATAAATAAAATAAAGGTATTGGGTCCAACTACAACTTAAAAAATAAATATTAAAAAGACTCTTCCCCTGAATTTTTTGATTCAATATCCCAGAATCAATGCTGCACCAGCATTGATTATACTTGAAAAACATTTCTTTTATCGAAAAAATGCCAGGAGATGTTAGCATAATCATTTAATTATAGTGACTGAAGTCTCCTTTCCTCCATTTGGTTGCAACTGTTCTTTACTTAATAGCTTTAATTCACTCCTAAAAGCCCTACCACTAAGTAAAAAGCTGTTAAGCAAGAAATATTTCCATTAATTTTATTGGGGAAAATTGAGCATTTCATCCCAACCTTAGTTACTGAAACTATTTCACAGATAGAAAAATATATCAAGCTTATGTTAGTAAAACTCAACAATTTGGAAGTAAACGAATATGGCTTGCAAATAAAGTATAATTTCACAATACCTTGGGATGGAGAAGAGAAGATGTGACAGTGGGTGGTGAAGGGTAGAGGGGAATAGTCATTCTTGGAACATTGTTGTAGAGTCATTGGTTTACACTGAAGACAAAAACTGTTTAGAGATCTTAGTCAATCTATACCTAAACTACACTCGCAAATACAGTTCTAAAGTACAGAAAGATGCCTTAAGGGAAAAATAAAGTCTGAAGATCAGAGAAGCTTGAAATATATGGAAAAGGTCACACACATAATGGACAAAAGAGTTGCAGAAGATTCTGATCACCTTTCCCTCATACTTCAGGAGGCCACCATCTTCAGGTTCCCCAAGAACATCTCCCAAGTTAAAGGTTAGCTGTTACCTCTGAGAATCATCAACTCCTTTTGTCTTTTAGCTTTCTGGGATGATGGGAAAAAGTCCAAAGCCCCTGGTTGTATGCCATCTTGTCTGAGGGAACTTGCATCCTTCTATAGGTGAGGCTTATGGCATAAACATTACATACAAAGCTGTCATAACTTGGTTTTTCAAGTTCAAAAATCCAAGTTTTTTCTAGTTCAAGAATCTCAAATTTGGCTTTGTTTACTGGTGTTCCCATGAAACACAGGGGAAAGTATATTCATCAATATATCATATTATTAAATCATCACAAAACACAAGTATATCTGCATATGTATTGATAACTGTCATGAGTATAGTTTCAAGGGGAGAAAAAGACTATGTACTACTAGTTAAGGTTTTCCTTTCATTTTTAGCTTGTGCTTTTCATCCTCAAAAATTCTCATTAAGTCATTTAGTCTATCATGGAGGATAGGGGTTTCTGTCTGCATTTTATTAACAAGGAAACATAAGCAGAAAAAAATAATGATATTAAATGGTTTTCCCAAAATGCCAAACACTGTGAATCCAAAAACTGTTCCAACCAGCCTT